TGTACTATGAATGGGGCACCCAAATACTCTTCACTGAAACCGACCTCATGAAAGTGCACAGGCATTTCCACCATCCGGATTCTGAAAGGCTCTACTCGGTCATGAAAAGGGCCGACCCCGAAAAAACCTCCCCTCAGGTCTTGACCGACTTAAAGCGCATCAGCGCGGCATGTGACCTCTGCCAAAGACTCTCACATGCACCGCACCGGTTCCAGGTGGCACTCCCAGACGGAGAAGTCGTCTTCAATAAGACTGTCTGCCTGGACCTCATGTACCTTGACAATGCAGCTGTTCTAGACGTGGTAGACAAAGACACCAAATTCTCCGCGGCTTCTTTCCTATCCAATGAGACGGATAACGAAACTTTGAACACGTTCATGCGCATATGGGTCTGCACATATATTGGATTCCCAAACATTATGGCCACTGATCGAGGCCCTCAATTCAAGTGCAACCGGTGGAACATCCTGCTCAACCTAGCAGGGATTACGCACCACCCCTCTGGTGTTCAAAGTCATAACGCATTGGGAGTCGGCGAGCGTTACCATTCCTTTCTACGGGGAATATACGGCAAGGCTCGACAGCAACACCCTCAGCTGGAGAATGAACACATACTCGCCCTTTCCGTCAAGGCTATGAACGATACCGCTGCGTACCACGGTCTTTTACCTACTCTACTCGTGTTTGGAGCCATGCCACGGATTCTAGTGACCCCTATGGACCTCCCAGCGCAAGTAGATCGAATGAAAGCGATGGTTTTGGCTCGAAAGGAAATGACTCTGGTCATTACAAAGGAGAGGGTCACAAGGGCTTTGCGCGCGAATGTACCGTCAACAGCTCAATCCGATATACCCATCGGCTCACGTGTCCTGATATTCGGGGAGAAACCTCAGAATAAGTGGATTGGGCCGTACAGGGTTTTGGACGTAAACGATGAGTGCCTTTTCATAGACTTGGATGGTACCGACTACCAAGTGTCCATAGACAAGTTGAAAGCTTGCGAATTCCCCCCCGCCAGTCAGTACAATTGGAGCCACACCTGATCTCAAGAATACCTCAAATCCTGTTGCGGAGCCTCCGCCGCAAAGTGATGTCCTGGACGATTTGGAAACCATATTAACTAGGATCCGTGCGAATCCACAAAGCTCTCAGTTAGTATTGACACCTCTACAAAGTACGCCCCCTCCTCTGCAAACCGCAGTACCCATTGGGGCGACACCAGACCTCGACGTTTTCATGACTGAAGTCATCGAACAAACGGACGGAAGAGCAAAATCAGAGGAATTCGCCAAAGCCATGAGAAAGGAGGTTGTTGGACCTGAGAAAAGGAATACTTGGAAGGTAATTCTGAAGGGAACTCTACCCCCCGGCCCGAATATTTTAGGGGGGCGGTTTGTGCGTGCCCTCAAGAACGCAGGTACGGATGGTGAACTCGCAAAAGCCCGTTATGTGGCGCAAGGTCATCGTGATATGGATAAATCATACATGGTCCATAACATCACGAACTTACGCCAAAGTTCAACAAGAATAATAGTTTCGGTCGCCGCTATCAAAAAGTTTCGTATCTTTTCACACGGCGTCACCCAAGCTTACTTTCAAAGTGAGGAGAAGCTTACCCGCAAGGTGTTCCTGCTCCAAAAAAGGAAGGATATGGAGGATTTTGGGTTGGCTCAGAACGAGATTCTAGAATTGCTTAGGCCAATATACGGTATGACCGACGCAGGTGACTACTGCGGAGTCACCGTTGATCACCACGCCATAGATGACCTTGGACTTGTGCCCTTACTGGGCGACCCGTCGCTATACATCAAACGCAACGATGAGGACATTCACGGACTTTTAGGAATGTGTGTGGACGACGGGTGCCTAGCAGGGAACAAAGTGATGCTGGAACTTACGGAGCTAACGCTTCAGAAGTTCGAATCAAGGCCACGAGAATGGGACAACTTCGAGTTCTTTGGAACGACTATCTCCACAATGAACAACGGACATTTTGTGATATCCTAAAAAGCCTATATAAAACGGCTAAAGCCGTTACCGCTTGACGCATCATTGTAACGATTCCGATCGTACAGAGCCACACTCGCTTCAAGCGAGTGTGGCCTTGTGTATCCAACCCAAATTGGGTTGGATTCACAAGGCCCGACGCATTATGTGCCATCAAGAAAGCAGCACAGGTGACTGAAAGTACATTTGGGGTGGAAAAGGTCAAGGCATTCAACACTACGATCACGTTCTTACAGAAAACCCCTGAAAGGTGCCTCCAATTTCCCCCTTCGACAAGAAGACGCTTCATCTGAAGGTATATGCAGATGCTTCATTTGCTGGAAATGATGATTTGTCATCACAACTCGGGTTCATCATCCTTCTATGTGATGAGTCGAATCGCACGCATGTTTTAGATTACTCCAGTAGAATGTCCAAGCTTGTTGTAAGATCCATTCTTGGTGGAGAAGTGTACGCTTTCGCTGACGGTTTCGACAGAGCATATATTTTACGCCATGACCTCCAAGTGATATTTAATGTTGTATAAACCCGTGCCACTGTAGTATCCTTTTCGCGCTACTCGTGTACACGTGTATCTAGATAACTCAAGTACCCCGACGTACAGTACCTAGCCCATTTACACCAGCCTTGCTCGCTTTCGACACGCGCACACGTGGACCTACTACCGCTCTTGTACAAGTGTATATTATGACGCAACCTCGTGAGCACTAGCCGTTACATCTCGACCGCGACCTAGTACAGTATATAGCGTCGTTGGCGCTTGAGCCGGGTGGGTTTGGGGACAAGCAACCAAGGACCAAGGACGCGACTCTCGTTCTTGGATTTGCGCCGTACTAACTAACTTCTTCTCGTTCACGTTCTCTCGTTCTCCTCGCTCGCGCCCTAGGACTCTCGTGGCCACGTTGCGTGTTGCCTCCCCGCTCGCGCGCACGGTTCGCTGGCCGCGTATTAGCCCCGCTGTGTCGAGAGCACCCCGTCGTTCGCTTCTAGTTTCCGTGGTTCGAGAGCACACCCGGGTTCTACAGTCGCCCGAAAGCCTCTACCACTTCCCCCTAGCTACCTAGTACACGACCCCACGAACGACCCGTGTTTTAGCACGTGACCACGTTTCGCGTTCTACTACATTTAAGAAGAATTTTCCACTTCATATGTTCACGGATTCTCTACAAATGTTTGACGTCATCACGAAAGGGTCATCAACGACAGAAAAACGGCTGATGATTGACATTTCATCTGCGCGTCAATGCTACAAGCGAGAAGAAATATCTCACGTCGGTCTTGTATCGTCTGAGAACCACGTGGCCGATAGGTTGAAAAAATAAAGTCTCAATAACGCTTTGCAGAAGCTTCTCGATACTGGTTACGACCTGAACACCGTGCTAAAATAGATTGTCCAGACTCCGGCAAGTTCTACTTCTGGAAAAATGGCAGTGCGAAATTGCCTATCATTTTAATCTCAAGAGGCCTGACCACGCGAATGGATCACGCGGTGAGAGCCTAACTTGCGTTTTTATGGGTTAGATTTATGTAGTATATAAGGAACAGACCTAGGCGACTAGCGCGTGGGTCTGACCAGGAGGCAGGTTTGAACAGACGTGTCTACGCAGAATCCTTCTCGAACAGCGCTTCGATTACCCGGAGGTTCGGTTGGGTTCGAAGAGCCGGTCGTAGGCTCTTCTAGACATTTAATAAACTGTTTAAACTATTCTCTTTAATTTTTCTGGGACAATTCCCACAACACCATCGGCTCCCCCTGAAAGTTGGAAAAATAAAAGTAATTTATGTACACATCGTCAGGTCTCACGACCGGGAGACCAGAACAAAGTGTCGTCTCTGCATGTCAGTGAAGAGCGAAAAGTCCCACTGTGCCGAAGTTATTTTTCTCCATGGTCTGTACTGTAAATGCTAACTACACCTGAATCATTGCAGTTGACTACAGTACAGTACCGTCCTTCCGGTAGCAGTTTAAAGTTTAAACTGCTACCGGAAGGACGGTACTGTGAGAAGGGTACTGTAGAAGGTTTAAAGTTTAAACCTTCTACAGTACCCTTCTCAGTGGCTCAATGTGGGACGCATGAGAAGTTATGATAAATATGCGAATGCAGTGCGTATTCGAAGAAAATTGCCTTTATTTGGACGGGAGAATTGGTCTCCAAAGTGTGCCACGGTCAAAGTGGGACGACGAGAAATTTCATGTGTTGCACGCTTCATCTGTAATGGGAGAGACCCAACAAAGCCGACGCTGCCGTGTGCTTGCGGGTCCTCAACAACTCGCCTTCCTCAACCTGCATCCGCTGTTTTCGGGCTCTTGGCCATTGCGAAATTGGCAAGTCGTCGCAAACTATGTCTTCGAGAGGCGACACCGCAGACTGCGCCTTTCAGACGTTTCTGAGAGTCAATTTTTTTTTGTTTGCAGTATCATTCTCTACATTAAACTCCTGAATGTGATAAACGTTGGGTACGGGCGCTTTTGGAGGATTCCGCTCCTCCAAACGAGCACGAACGGACTGCAAATTGCCAACCGTCGCTGCGTTTCCTGTTGCGAGGAATTTTCTATTAGATTTCTTAGGTGTGGGGTTCTTTGACAGGCATATATTCTTTCTCAGAATGTTGCGCAACACATAATCATTATTGGGAGCGACGGAAACCTCTGCAAAAGCATGAGCAGAAAACTGACCGTTTGTAAGAGCATGTGAATATGTTTCATCAAAAGAATATATTTAATTCGTTGCGAAATAGTTTAGCAAAATCATATGCGCGAAACTATGCGGCGCGGCATTATAATTTTGGTGTCACAATTTGAGCCTTGTCACAATTTGAGCCTTGTCACAGATTGAGCCTGTGAGAAGGGTATCGCCTACAGCACGGGAACCGGTCGTTGCACAAGGAGCAATCTCCGAACCTTAAGTCGTCCAGGATCGTATGCTCCAGACTCGGCGAGTCGTGTAGTCTATCTCACTCCTCCATTTGCTTGTCACGGATTGCTCACAACGATGCCGCATAGTCCTCTTTTCATTCAGCCTTTCTCTAACATCCCACATCCCTCCATCCGTCGCCCGACATTGCGGAGCACACGACCTACCCTCCGTCGTCCCACCCACCCCGTCCGACCTCGCACCTCCGTATACTGTGTAAGCCAAGACGTCCGCGTGTCCGGCGGTGGCGTCGCCCCTTCGGAAGATGCCTTCACTCAGTATGATGGCCAAGACCCAGTCCACTTTGCCTCACTCGCTTCCGATCCGGCCGTCCGCATGGTTCCGGTTTGGAGGAAGATTTTTTCAGATCAAATGACCCCCGTTGTCGCATATCGATGCTTGGTTGCGGAAAATGACCAAACAACCCCCTCATTTCTGCTCGAGAGCGTCCACACGGGAGAGCGCGTCGGTCGATACAGCCTCGTCGGTGCACGTCCGGTGTGCGAGGTTGTTGCTTATAAGCAAAATGTTACTGTCGTAAGGCATGAACGAACTGGAACTACCAGGCATACCGAAAAGGTCGATGATCCCTGGAAAGTCATCGCGGAGATGAACAACACACTCAAACCTGTATCGAGTTGTTCCTTGCCAGCAGCAGAGGCATTTTTCTCTGGCGGCTGGGTCGGATATGGTGGATACGATACCATGCGATACGCCGAGCTCAAGAGTTTGCCATTCTCCGCCACCCCGAAAGATGATCGCGGACTCCCAGATCTACATTTTGGTCTTTATAAAGACGTTTTCGCTTTTGATCAAGTTGCAAAGGTTATCTACATCGTCCATTGGGTTGACATCACCGATCATTCCAACGCCAACGGAGAGGCACTGGTTGCAGAGGCACACGCAGCGGGGATGAAGGAGTTAGACTCACTGGTAGAGACGCTTCATAAGGGGGCCAATCTGAGTACGATGTCACCTGGAACGGTGAATTTGAATACTGATGCGGCGGCGATTCGGCAGTATCCGAGTAACATGACGAAAGAGGAGTTTATGGAAGCGCTGTCGAAAATCAAATACCACATTATGGTTGGGGATACCTTTCAGACGGTGTTTTCACAACGTTTTGAACGATGGAGCGAAGCAGACCCGTTCTCTGTGTATCGAGCATTGCGTATCATTAACCCTTCTCCCTATATGATTTACATGCAAAATGAGGGATCAATTTTGGTGGCCTCTTCGCCAGAGATCTTGACTAAAGTAGAGAATGGTACTTTAACTAATCGACCACTCGCAGGAACAAGGCGCCGCGGTGCAAGCGAGGAGGAAGATGAGGTCCTAGCAAAAGAGCTGCTAGCTGATGGTAAGGATCGGTCCGAGCACATGATGCTGGTAGACCTGGGACGCAACGATGTTGGAAAAGTGTCGGCGTACGGGTCTGTGAAGGCTGAGCAAATCATGAATGTTGAGAAGTACTCGCATGTGATGCATATCAGCAGCACTGTGAAAGGAAAATTAAGAGAGGGGTTGACTTCGTGGGACGCTCTTCGCGCGACGCTACCAGCTGGAACGATCAGCGGGGCTCCGAAAATTCGGGCGATGCAGATTATCGATGATCTAGAGCCTACAAAGCGCGGACCATATGGAGGGGGGATCGGGTACATTTCGTTTCATGACAGCATGAATATTGCGCTCGCTTTAAGAACAATGGTTGTGCCGACGAAGCCACGCATGAATGCGGATGGGAAACCAGAGTGGCAGTACTTTCTTCAGGCTGGGGCTGGAATCGTGTATGAGTCGGACCCTGAGGCCGAATATACCGAGACAGTGAACAAAGCAATGGCGATGAACAGAGCGATTGACTTGGCAGAGAATGCTTTCTAAAAAGGGACGCTCGTTGGCGATGAACAGAGCAGTTGACTTGGCAAAGAATGCTCTCTAAAAAGGGACGGTCGTTTGCAGAGATTCTTGTAAGGAAAGAGTTGCAGACAAAGACTGGAGCATATTCTTGGTTGAAGCGGATAGTCCTTGGGTACTGTGTGTACTGTACATTGATGAGTGTCCTAAACTGGTAATCTGCCAGAGATTAGTTTCCAAGGGTGTGTTAGTGCTGATGCATTGCTGCCCAGATTTGTAAATTAAAAAATTAAACACGATTGGGACGAAGCAGCCCCAATATTGCATCTTGCGCTCTCAAGCTGCAGCCTCTCCTGTATGATGGCCACCGGAGAGGCCATCATACACGTCAGTACAGTAGTACTGTACAGACTCTGCACTATGATCTTGGCATGTGCTACCCTAGGGTACCCTTCCCCCACATCTGCCTGCTTCCTGCCCAATACAGCAAATACCAAGGGTATATGTACCGTAGTGCAGGAACATACAACCTCGCCCCTACAACAATCCCGTCATCGATACTTACCGTCTGTTTCTCTTAACATCCATTCAAGTCCCTTGCCAGTCTTTGTTCACCATCATATCACCACCACCATCTGCGCACCTCAACTAATCGCTTCTCCTGCGTCCACATACGCGTTTGATCCATGACAGAGCCGCCCGATGGCCGGCAATCTGTAGCCGTCATCGGCGCCGGCGCGGCCGGACTGGCCTCTGCTTGGCTACTTGCCCGAGGCAGATACTCCGTCTATGTCTTCGAAGCTCGTGACACGGCTGGCGGCCATGCCCACACCCTTGACCTTCCCATCCCCGGCAATACCACAGGCGCTACCGTCCCCGTCGACGCCGGCTTCATCGTGTACAACACCCGCACCTACCCTGATCTCGTCAGCCTTTTTGAAATACTCAATGTCGAGGAGGAGAACTCCTTCATGTCTTTCGCTGCCAGCATTGAGAACCCTTCCACCAACACTTTCTTTGAGTGGGGCTCAGACACCGTCGCCTCCCTCTTCCCGACCCGCTCCAGCCTGTTCAATGTGTCTATGTACACCATGCTTTTTGATATGCGCAGATTCAACAACGCCGTCTACGATTTCGTTGACAAGCTCGAAAATGACCCGCAGTTCCAAGATGCCAACATCTCGCTGGGTGAGTTTCTCGAAAAAGGCTCGTATTCATCCGTCTTTATCCGTTGTTACCTCGTGCCTATGGTGTCGGCGGTCTGGTCAGCCTCCTTTTCGAGTGCCATGAGGTTTCCCGCCCGATCTATGTTTCATTTCTTCATCAACCACGGTCTGGCCCAAGTTTTTGCACGTCCTCAGTGGCGCACACCAGCTGGTCGTTCAAGAGAATATGTCACCAAGATCGTTAACGATATTCGAGATCACTCCGGTGTTGTGTTACTGGGCACGCCAGTAACACACGTTATGCGAGATGAGCGAGGCGTTACGGTCTACGCCGCCGCCACTGGTCCAAAGAGGTTCGATCAAGTTGTTTTTGCCACTCACCCTCCCATTACACTCGAACTGCTCGGCTCAGGTGCGACGGAGGACGAGAAGCGCATTCTCGGTGCGTTCCGCTACTCAGAAAACCAGGCCTACATCCACCACGACCAGCGACTCATGCCCACGAACAAGTCGGTCTGGAGCTCGTGGAACTTTATTGGAAGGAAGAGACAAGGGCAGACTAATAAAGAAAATGGTACGTCTGCCACATGTCCCGATGATGCCAGTCTAGGCCAGGCTGCACCCAATGGAACTACGCAAAACGATGCGATCCCATCTGATGATGATGAGCCCGTCTGTGTAACGTACTGGCTCAATAAGCTTCAAAACTATCACAAACATCACACCCCAGTGCCAGACATGTTTCTGACGCTGAATCCGGTTACAGAAATTGACCCTGACAAGATCATCAAATCATTATCTTTCGGCCATCCCCAGTTCACGGAAGAGAGTGTTAATGCACAAGCTCTTCTACAACAAGTAGTACAGGGACAAAACAGATCTTGGTTTTGCGGAGCTTACGCGCGCTATGGTTTCCATGAAGATGCAATGATGATAGGCTTGAATGTGGCGGAACGCTTATCAGAGTTTACAAACTTGAGGCCCTGGAAGTCGAAGGAGAGACTAGCTATTAATGATAACTCGAGGCAGTACGACATTCCCCTTTCCCCGCTCCGGAATCCTGTGTTTTTCTTTATTGGGGGGCTCATTGTACTCAATGCCGTCATGTCGCGCTTGCAGCAAGGCCTTGGCAAGATTGCAGCCAGAATGTCTGAGGAGGACCCCGTTGTCGTTGTCGCGGTTGGCGACGGTCGTTTGCATCGCTTTGGACCGCGACGCTCAAGGATGGGGTTGAGCAGACCCCAGCCCAGTCGCATTGTGAACATGCCAGGCTCCGTTCTGCCCGGTAAACTGCAATCTGGCAGAATGACAGTGAGGACTCCAAAGGTACTTGCGCGCATCACCGAAGCTCTCAGATATCGTCATCCACTTGCTCCAACAGCAGCGAGAGCCTTTGCTGCAGCTGAGGTTGACTGTCCAACCCCGCAAGATCTTTCAACTACTTTGAAGGCCTTATTTATTGCAGATGGGTTAGACGTGGATCCATCAAAAGCCAGAGCGGGTAGAGCGAAGTTCGCAGAGAGCCTTCTTTCTTATGTCGTCGGCGGGTTCCAGAAAGTCAAGACATTGCCAACGCACACTCGACTGACTGAATTAACAACGTGCATCTCCAGTGTTGTTTACCCTTCCTGGTGGCTTGAAATGGACAGTGAAGTCCAGAGCACAGAGTGCAAACAAATGGACAATCGGACCGTGTCTTTGGGATCTATCAGCGATTTGAATGCACCTTCGAATACTGTGGAGATTCTTGGAGATTTGTCGGAAGCGACAATATCTATTCTTCAGAGCAACGATAATTCACGAGCTACGGTGGTTGTCCGAACGAGTGAGCGAATGACCTTCGTTGACAGAAAAGCTGAATTGTTGTCCGTTCGTGAACAAATAGAAATCGTGCTATTCAAAGATTTTGTGAAGCAGTGGAGTGAAGCGAAGGATGAGAGGAATACAAGTTCTGAAAACCGAAAACTCTGCTTTGACCTCATATTATCCCCTGCGCTCGTCAATCTCTTTGAGGGGTCAGGGTTCAAGACCCTTGGAGAAACCTACGCATTTGTGCGGCAACTCGCAGTTCTTGGGGCCACGATTGAGTTCGGCGTAACCGTCTGCGGGGTACATCGCGATTGCAAGGACTGCGAAGGGCCACGCAATGTTGATGACGTTTTTGCGGGAGACGAAGGATTTACTCTATGCCGAACAAGAGACGTTATTGGAGCTAGCGAAAGGTGTGGTCTTGAACTGCAACGCGTCTCATTTATGGACAATGAAGAGGCTGCCTTGGATGTACAGGAGGTGATAAACAGGGTGTACAACAGTTTAGCTGTCGATCTTCTTGAACCAAGTGAGACGCGTGTTGTTTTAGCGCAGTTGTGCCTGTGGGAAGCTGCGCTACTAATCGGCCATGTCCGTCGGATGGCGGTAAGATTTAGAGCAGTGAGGATTCTAACTTAATTTATTGGCAGCTTTCAGAACCTGTAAATGTATATTCTTCATAAATTTAGCTTCTACTACAAAAGAAGTGCTACAGGGGGCGACGGGACGGTGTATCGTACAAGTATGCGTTCAAACGTGCCTTCTCATTGAACATTGCTTGTGTGCTGATTGAATTACAGACTGAGATACTACGTCGATGTTAAACTTAAGTTCTTGAAGCCGAACACACATTCTCGTAGTCATGCCCTCTGACTTTCCTGGTTCCCCAAACTCCTTCTCAAATTCAAGCCTGTGAATCCACGGATATCTTTCCTCGTCTTCAACAGCTTTGTCCCATCTTGAAAAAGCGAGTTCTTTAATTCTTTGATTATGTTCATGACGACGCATACATTCCTTGAAGACATCTGTTTGTGGAGCTGACATAGCAGAGCTGTATTCAAGGCCAAATATTCGAGCGAAGCTGTCGAATGGACCTGCTTTGTAGGCAAACGGGAAGATCTCGATAACCGCCGTTGATGGTTTCAAGAAGATGAAGTTTGCATTCCCGGCGCCGTGGGTTGTGATCAAAATATTCGTCTCCTGCATAATGCGGACTTGATAGTCGAAGGACTTTTCTTCGAAATCCACCACTTGGAAGTTAGACTGGATGCCTGCAGCTGAACTAAGAACATTTAACTTCTTTTCGAGTGCCTGTAGTCTCAGGAGAGCTCGAGGTCCCTTTCGTGTCAATGCTGTTATTCGAATTTGGCATTTTGTGTTTGCAAATCCGTTCATTGTCCAAACTGAGCTTCGCGAGATGCCGTTCGCACCTAAAACAACATTTTGTCCTCGAACGTCAAAGAGACCATAAGGGAAATGATTTTCGATATTGCTGTTCACAACTGACCGAAAAACTGATACTGTGGATGGCGTCTGCGCAGATGCCAACTTTAAACTTTTTTCAGAACCAGCGCGGACCATGGAAAACCCAATAGAGGGATGTTTGAAAAATTGTGCAAGCCTTGGAACCCAATCTGACGAAGGTCGTTTCCATGTCTCATCAAAGACAAGCATCGATGGCTTAAAATCAGTCATTTCGGAGGCCGATCTAATACCAACCTGGAATGTTCGGTTCGGATGAAGAGAGGAATGTGGAAGTGTCATTCTTCCAGACCCCAGTAAGGTTTCACTCGCTACAAGCAGAATGAATATGTCGGTGACAAAATGGGGCATATGATTGCGAGGTGCAGAAGTACCACACAAATCTCGTTTCGAATTCGTCTCGTCTAGTTCAAAAGACCCACGGACGGCTTTCGCTAGAATTTTTTTGTCGAACTGCAATGTGCCTTTCGATGACACGCGTTCCACAGCATAAATTGGCTCCTTTATCCCACAACGAAAACGTAAATATTCCGAATGCATCTTCATCCATTTTGGGAGTACAAGCCGGCCATCAGACAGACGTGCAACATTGAAAAGACGGCAGAGTGATTTCCCTCCAGCGAGTGACCATACCTCAACTGTCTCTGGTGCATCCCCTCTTTGCTGAACAGGCAACGAAACCTGGGAACCCCCCTCTGAGTATGCAGAGTTTGCGTTTGAGTCATCTGCTTTCATGCCACTGGCTGTTTTGGGGGATTTAAAGTTGGGTCCAGACGATATAGCATCGTTCTGAACATGCTCCACAACGTTGAGTGCACTCGAGTGAAGAACGTCTGAGTGTATCTTGGGCTTGGCATTAGAGAGTCCTAGTCTATTTTTCTCAATATCGAACGGTGGATTATGACTCGGGGGTGTTCTGATTGTGTTGTGAGTACGTGAAATTGTGGGCGCAGCACTTGCACCATTAAGTGTTTCTGGTATAATATTGTACATAATTGAGGCTGTAACTGGTAATGGCTCAGCGGGACCCAATGCGATGCTCTTCACGAGGTACTGAAGCGCTGGTACAGCCATGAGAAACTCGGCAAGCATTCCTTGGTTTGACACAAATCTTCCAGTCCTTACAACTTTGGAAGAACGATCATCGTCGTTGAAGTTCCGAACTTTTCTTCCATGAAGCCTCTTGCGGTTATACATCTTGGAATTCCCCTGTTTCAAGTGATATGGTTGCCGAAATACTGCACTTTCAGCATCCGTTTCCCGTGACGCATTCTTCGAAATGCGAAGCTCCTTCCGAAGGTACACCAGCAAGCCAGCTAGAATACCAACTGCCATAAGAGCGGCTGGGCAGAGCGCAAAAACTCGTGTATAAAAAGACCTCTTTGGTAGCTTGATTGTGTATTGGATGCAAGTGCTTGGCATTGGAAGGGTAGCCTTTCTGGAAAGAGGCGGAATGCGGTTTTTCTCATTAGCTTGACTGACTTCCTTTGTTTTAGCACTCCTAACCTTTGAAAGATTCGCATGTTTTCCACACATTGTCTTCTTCTGTCTGTTTAAATGAAGTAGTTGGTTTGGATGCTCGCCACCCCGCGCAGTTGTTCTTTCTTTCCGTAACCTTGAATCTGCTGGAAATATGGTATGGTCTGGGGGACGCCACGGTGGGCCATTTGTAGAAATCGATAACTTGTCGCCAGCCATGCCGTGAAACCGCATCGCTCCTCGACAACCTATGACGCACGAACAGCAGCTCGTGAACCCATTCAGGTGGATGAGCAGGCCCTTCCCTACACTTTGATATCTTCAAAAAACGGTTAGCGAACAAAGTGTAACACTCGCAAGGTTTGATGCATATGTTTAGTCGGGGAAGATGAATGCCATGTTGGATAGTATGGGTTTAGAAAAGTGGATATTTGCAGCATGCGCTATGCAGGCTTTACATGCGTTGTTCGAATTAAATAAATCAGAGATGAAATCCGAGACGTTGGGCGCAATCATCTGCGCCTCCACATCTGCACGCTTCAAAAAGGAACTTGCTGATACCACCAGCCGTGAAGGGGCAACCCTATTTCTTCCCGCATTAATTGGCTTTACATGGTTGCATCGTGCAAGAGACTGCGAAATCGTCCAAAATGATCCACCGATATATCTTTCGTGACGCTACAATAGGAAAAATGTACTGAAGGCTCTCACAATGAAGTTTGTGTACAGTAATATGTTTACTGCCTTTGGACCATTATTAAGCCAATCAATTGTAAAGTCTATGTCCTGTTCGAGTTCGCATTGTCTCTCTTGTCTCCGCTCTGCGTGATCTATAGGTCTGACCGTGCCTTCATAACAGGTAGCACACACGTGCGGATTCCTGAGAAATCGGCTGTTTCATTTTTTAAAATTGTCATAAGTCTACCTACTCGGCACTTTCTTCTCTAACGGAATGCAGATGTCCTTTTTACCTGAGAGAATAATATTTTGTCGTTGCAGTAGTTCTCTGCAATGTTTAGTTCTTCGCCGAGAAATTGAATGTAGAAACCAGGTGCTCGTGCCTGATAAGAAATGGCCATACCGTATGTGAGAAATCAACTCCGTGATTCACGCAACACTCCCGCATTGGAAGCATGGTCTTCCCCCGATTGATTTCCCTCGGTTCAAAATGCGTTCACTTCACTCGGTTCGTCCAGCAATGTGGAGGAATTCGTAGTGCGCTGAGCATGATACTGTATCCTTGGTACAAGGGGGGGGGGGGGGGGGGGCCGCGATATAAGAGCACTTTGAATAAGACCGACCTCGCAATAAGAGCACCATTTTCGCTTGGCACGGTATCATAACTTCAAGACCCATCAGACACTGTAATGGCAATCACACAGGCCTTTTCTCGGGGTATTTCAAACGCAGCGACGAAACAACATGATATTGGGGAAGAACGCGCCACTATACCGACCGACCGCCACTATACCGACATCAGTTGGTCTGAATACATTATTGCTACCGCTAGAAACAATTGCTCATGATTGCCATATATAACAGAAGTAGGGATGTTGTTGCGGAGAGTGAGAAGCGTGTTCGCGCGCTTACGAGGGAGGGCTTCTGTGCACAGGTCCAGGCAACTACTTATTGGTGAGGCGTTACAGCGTTCTAAGGAGTAAAATGGGCATCCTGTACGAGATTCTTGAATAGTAGCAACCTCGGATTAAGAGCAGCATGAAGGGTTGGCACGGGGTGCTCTTATATCGTGGTCCCCAGTGTACCTCCAAGGTACAGCATGCATGATACGGAGCAAATACAAAGTCCATACGCATACACGTGTGCAGAACAGAAGCAACGGCACTGAAGTGCCATTGTACCTGTTCAGCGCAATTTCATAACCCTTTGACGCGCCACCTGCGGCAGAGTCAGGGTGTGTCTTAACTTGCCCGGGTTTGCTTTGCTTGCCCGAGTTTGCCGGTCATTTATTAATTTATTAATGTAAGTACACGCCTTCCCCTTACGTTAGTAGTGGACAGGTGTCCCAGAGCGACGGTGCTGACTTACAGAGGCATACAGCGCCATAAATTGCCAGAACACAACGGGGAGGACACTGTGGGTTCTACAAATTCGCTCCGAGGACGCATCGACAGGGACGTGACATGCTGCAGCGTCAAACAACTTCGCCCGAGGGACGCGTCGACATGGACGCGAGACGCTGCAGCGTCGCTCGCTTCCGACCCAGAACGTGGCCATTGCGGGTGATCCCAGATCACCGGGATAAATAATTGATCTCACCCCCTACTTCTCTCCTTACTACTCCGCGGGATAGCGTATCTATCGCCGGCGCTGTTTGGTCAAAAAACGGATCTACAACCACTGCCCAGTATCGCCGTTCGCCTCCCCTCCTTTCTTCTCAATCTAATCACTCCTACGCAATGCACGGCAATAGAATCATCACTGCTACGACCGCACTAACCGCAACCGCAGCTCTATTCTCCCTCCTTTCATTTCACCAAGCTATTTCAAACTATCCTCGACCCCGAAAATTCACAAAGCCCTTAGATCTCCGACGGGGATGGACCTTTGTCAGAGCCAACAGAATTTTTAACGACAAAGAATTCAGTCGTACATACCGTATGGAGGGGGGATAATATTTGGTCAGAAACGCCCGCTGCAGACGAGGAAGCAATAGTGAGAGACTTTGCGTTGGTGGCCCCCGTCTTCCGAATGGTGGGAGTCGGAGAGATGCGCCAGAGGCGCGGAGAACGGCGCACGTGGCATTGAGGTGTGGAAGCCATTTTCAGGAAAGTAGTAGGCAGAGAGGTGCTTCGTAGAGTTGGGTTGCCTTTGCGAGATGGCAGGTGCATAGATTTTTGCAAAGGGGGAGTTGAGGATGTTTTCGGCAAGGGGCAAGCACTGCGTCCACCGGAGCACAGCGTCCAAATTCGAAAGTTACAAACTTACAAAAGTAGCCAATATATGATTGACATTTGTCATTACACACTGACATAACTTGAGCTTGCAGTGTAGGGTCGTACTTAGTTTCAAATCATATATTAACGCCCAGTAGCCAATAGTAGTGCAAATCATGGCTCCGGGCAAGCAAACCCGGGCAAACTCGGGCAAGTTAAGACCCTCCCTCAACGAAGAAGATGCTGCTGCATTTGTAGGGCCACATTTGTTGATCTCAAAGACGCTGTTGCGAGTAGGGGTCGCCCATGGGACTTCTTTGTGCATGTACTAGCAACTAGAAGACCGTATCTGTGCGCAAGAGTACAAGAGTTACGCAGCAGTTTTTCGGGTGTACGGAAAATTAATGCGAATTGCAAGCATCGAAGCGCTCTCTACCACCGATCTTCGGCGGCAGACCTCGGATGTACAAGAAGTATCCGAATGGCGAGCAGATGTGGCCCTCGTCTCTTGAGGGTTTTCGACATGAGCGATCGCGGCCCCCTGTCGGCGCAGATGAGTCCCTTCGTGAGGGCACTATCTGAATGCAAAGGCCCAGTCCTCGGCTTGGATGTCGGCTTGCGTCATATCGGAGTAGCGCTGTCCGACGAGCGCCGTCTTATATCCTTTCCACGGGGCGGTTTTGGACGAGCCTCCATTCGCGAGGACATAGCCAGCATGCGAAAGATTACCGAGCGGGTGGAAATGCACGCAGCCGTTGTTGGGATGCCGACTTGCTCCGGCAGGACTGCATCATATGCCAAAGTACAGGATTTTTTCAGGGCTTATGCACAAGGTGTTCTGCCGGAGTGCGGCATCCGAGTCATCGGATTTTGGGATGAGAGCTATACGACGCAGTTGGCCAAGGACTCTTTCATGGGGCATGCGAAGAAGAGGGATAGAAATCGGCTTGCGACACGGAAAAGGGTCGTGGATGGTGTAAGTGAATGACGCTTTTTACGTTTTGGATCGCCTGGCGGAGTCTTTGTGACACATGGACGTGTACTAATTATTTTCCCTCTGGCTATGTGACATTCTTCCGTTGAAATTCATTATGTGACGAAGTACGCAGCAGGAATTATACTACAAGATGCCCTGGACGCTGTGAAAGTTGCAACGGACGGAAGCCCAGTATGACTCCCAAGCGTGTCAGCTGCTATGCTGATGTACTGTCAACTACACGGCTACCCGCTAAGATCTGTATCGTTTGCGTTGTGTGGTTGCGAAACATGTAGAGCTATGTTGGAGTGGTTGGTCGCAATCGGATGAGAGCAACTACTTTGTCAAAAGCTGTCCCAAATGTAATGGGTTCCAGCACGAAGCTCTCGCAACCAGGGATGGCAGATTAGTGGCTTGCAGAGCTATGGCGTGACAATGCAAGTCGCACAGCACTCGGGTAATACTCCGAAACGAAAAGTTTATGCGAATCAAAAGTAATGAGGGGAACCGTATCGCAGAAGAGCTAGAGGCCCCAGGAAGGTCAAAAGGATCATTATCGATTCGAGACAACGCTCCTGTACGCAGTTGAGTTGAAGCAAAGTGCTCCCTCGACAGCAAGTTGCAACTCAAGGCATGGACTCGCTTTCGCTCTGCGTCGTGTGGTTATGCGGGATAGCATACTGGCGCGATCTGCTAGACCCGAGCCTGTTCACTGCTGCTCGTTTCTGCGGCGAGAAGGTGCAAGCGCTCAACGTGCCCACGCCTCGCAAAAGCGAGCTCAAGCATCGCGGCCTTTTTGCTTGGCTCTATCATGACGCACCGCGCCTGTTTGAGAAGCGTCAGAACGGGGGTGTCATGCTTTTGATATGGCAGAACGGCATTGCGAAAAGCAACGACGAAGACGACTGGAACGTTCCGCTGTGCGCGGTCGAAGGGGATGAGAGGATCGGGTGCGACGCGGTTGTCGTCGAGGCCCACGAGATGCGGTGGTCGACGTGCGACGACGCGGGGGTAGACGAAGAACGCCTCCAAGCAAGAGTGGCCCAGGTTCTACGCACGATTTGTTCGTATTCCATTTTCTTAGGCCCGCTAGAGAAAGGTTGCGACATTGAAATCGAGGCGTTCGATTGTGCCGAGGATGAGCGAGCTGTAAATGAGAAGGTGCGCCATTTGCAGTGCAAGAAATTCAAGGGGCTGCACACGGCGACGGCGCAGATATCGTGGTCTGTTTACGTTGAGCGGAGCGAGTTGAGAGTTTTGAGTTCGGGTCTCTGATTCACGGAAAAAGCTTATTGTTTCCTTTCTAAATCCGAGATCTGCCGTGATCCGAACACCGTTTGTCTTGATGTGTGAAGAGATGGCTTTGACAGACTTGAATGCGACATGGACGAGTAGCGTTTCTGGGGATCGAATGTGGCAGGTACAGTACCCAAGGGTACAGTATGGGCGCTACTGTATCGCGACCAGTGTGAGTGGGAATTACTGCCCGCCCCCGCCTCGTTGTGTCCCCCCGGGGCATGTTCCGATGGCTCTAAAAAGATCTCACCCAGATACAGCCAATAACACGCTGCGGCATGCGTAATCCTCATCCATCATTCTTACCAGTCCTGCCATGCACACCCCCTCAGACCCGGCCGCGGTAGATCCCTCTGTTGATACACACCTCCTTGCCTGGCTCACCCAATCCTCCCCCATACTCCTCCCCCACCGCCAACCACCTCCCCCACGATGTCCGCCCCTAACTACCTCACTTTCCTTCCTCCCCCTGTCCTTCCCGGTCGTGCCCCATCCCACCGCCGTCGCCTGACGCACCAAGGTCCGCAAATGCTGTCCAGGTCCGTTTCCAAATTTCTTCGTCGCGTCCAAGCGGGCGCTATCAGGCCCGTGAAGCCTGCCTCCCTCGGCATTAAGACCCGTATTCCTCGCTCTGCTACCCTCTTTCACGACCGCGAGTCTCGCGTGGCGGTCGCGATGTGTAGAAGACGCTCCCGCTTCGCGACGAAGGAGGCCCATAGTGTTTTGAACGTGCTGAGACCGCTTGTTGAAAATGACACCATCCATTCTTTCGTCGTCGCCATAGATGGGCCTGCGCCAGTGTGTTCAAAGGCTGCCACGCTTGTCGAGGAGGCTGGGGGGGAGCTTTTGGGGAAAGAGAGCTTGGATGCCGCTCTGGCTTTTTTAACGGAAGGGGAAAAAGAGTCACGTCATCCGAGTGAGCAAGGTGAAAATGCCAACGTACTAGCATGTTCGGCGAGGGATGGAACGGCTGGTACTATCGGGGGCGCTGCTCGCAAGGAAGGAAATACATCGAGACTCAGATTCCTTAGTAGGCAGCGCCGGAAAGATGCGCAGAAGCGACGCCGCCACCATTTTGAGCTATGTGCGCACCATCAGCCTGCTGGTGATCAACCGAAGGCGATCAGCTTTCTGACTGATGGCCTTTTGGAAAAGGGTAAATCGTTCCAGACATTGCACGGAGTCACTGGGTCTGGCAAGACGTTCATGATGGCAAACATTATAGCAAAAGCTGATCGCCCAGCTCTAATTCTTGCGCCAAACAAAACACTTGCCGCTCAATTGTGTAACGAGCTTTCCAATCTTTTTCCTAAGAATCGCGTTGAGTTCTTTGTGTCGAGCTTCAAGTTTTATCAGCCAGAGGCCTATCTACCCAACAGCGACAAGTATATAGCGAAGGCGTCTGCCATCGATCCTGATGTAGATCGCCTTCGCCATGCGGCGACCAGGTCGCTCTTTGAAAGAACGGATACCATTGTTGTTGCAAGCGTAAGCTCCATATATGGTTTGGGCCTACCAACCGAGTATTTGGAGTCATCCATTCGGATTCACGTTGGTGACAAGCTGGAAGGTGGCGTCAGCGAACTCACCGAGAGTTTGGAAAATGTACAATACGTAGAAGCGAGCGGGAAAGGTATCACTCCAAGAGGATCTTTCAACGTAACGTCGGACATAGTCGAGATTGCTCCACCCTGGGAAGCAGAAGGAATTCTTTACAGGATCCTGTTTGACAACAGTGTCATCGTACGGATGGAATTTCTCAATACGAACACGAGTGAAAGTATCGATCTCGGACACGAAGTAGTTCTTTACCCCGCTAGACACTTTGTGACCCCTAAGGGCCAAATAGAAGCAGCTATTTTGCAAATTGAAGAGGAAACGAAAAAGTGCACAACTGCTTTTCGCGCTGAAGGGAAAGAGCTGGAGGCCTCGCGCTTGGAAGAAAGGGTAGCCACAGACATGGAAATGATGAGAAAGGTTGGCTTTTGCAGCGGGGCAGAGAATTACTCCTTGTATCTTTCAAAAAGGACAAACGGCATCACCACGAGCCCCCCTCGAACCTTGCTTGATTACATGCCTCGCGACGGGAAATGGCTGCTTTTCATTGATGAGAGCCATGTGACTGTTCCCCAATTGGGTGCTATGTATGCAGGAAACGCAGCGAGGAAGAAGAAGCTTGTGCGACACGGGTTTCGACTTCCATCTGCTATGGAGAACAGGCCGTTGAATTCAAAAGAGTTTTGGGAGAAGGCTCATCAAACGATATTCGTTTCGGCAACTCCCGGAAATCTTGAACTTGAACGTAGTGGATCAAATGGGGTATGTGAAGCTGTTATTCGCCCAACAGGGATTGTGGACCCCTCAGTAGAGGTTGTCCCCACCAAAGGCCAAGTTGAACATCTTGTGTTGGCGCTGGCGAAAGTTGCTGCCGCCGGTGGACGAGCAATCGTGACAACATTAACCAAGCGGTTTGCAGAGGACCTTGCAGACTGCATAAGCCGCAAGCCAGCAATTCATGGGGTGCTGGATAGACCACTGCGCGTGTCCTTCTTGCATTCTGAAATTGATTCAGTTGGACGAATGCAGGTATTGGAAGCGATGCGGGGTGACATCAATTTGGGCAGTGAATCGTCGGCGCCGAAGTTGGATGTCATTGTCGGGGTGAATTTGCTGCGCGAGGGAATAGACTTACCTGCAGTCCGCCTCGTTGCGATTCTCGATGCAGACTCTGAGGGCTTTCTAAGGGGAGAGACCGCTTTGATTCAAACCATTGGAAGAGCTGCACGCAACACGGAGGGCCATGTCGTCATGTATGCTGATACAGTTACGTCTTCAATGCATCGGGCAATAACAGAGACACGAAGGAGGCGCCGTTTGCAAATGGCTCATAATTCCATTAACGATATTATCCCGAGTGGCGTGGGTGCTGGGACACATCGCTCCCTTAACGCTGAAGAGAAGACGCTCCTTGACAGAATACGAAAGCTAAAACTTGAGGCAGGCGAGTCACTAAAAGAGAAAACTTTTGGAAAGATCTCAGACAAAGCAGTTCAAGAACGAGATCATTTCAAGTTTGCTGAAGCACCCGCGGATCTCACAGACCTGGGTGACGTGCGTCAGAAAATGTTGATGGCCGCTAATGCCGAAGATTTTGAGACGGCGGCCCTACTACGGGATCGTTTGGTCAGTCTCGAGCAAAGGTGACGATACGCAGAGCGCTCTGAGACCAGTGCTTCGAGACATCACAAGAAAGGCGTAGTCCTCTTCATCCAGGTTTGGAGGTCCTCAATACTGTACGAAGTGCTTTATTGGCATAAAACATTTTACAACTCGCTGTGTCCACCCTTGGTCAAGACTTAATGACATACAAGTTTTACGCAAAGGGATTTTGCTTACTGTTCGTTCTGGGTGTTGTTTTCGCGTAGATACCAATAGGCAATTAGCAAAAAGTTTCGTCATGCGCTCTCTTTCGTTCCTTGAAAACCATTCTTTGGATGGAAAGATGCAGACGTTTGGGCCGACATGTATCTCCCGATGGCTACATTCACTATGGAAAGACTGACCGCCACGGTGATGCCCATGAGAACCAGCCCAACTCTTGTTCCGATGGGCTTATCAATTGCTCGTAAACGGAATACATATACTTCCCAACAGCATGATAGGAAGAGAACACATGCGGAATGGGACAAGCGTTCCGGGGCTGTCGAAAAGACTACCTCAGTCAAGGAGAATACTGCCATGACATAACGCTGAAAACTGAATACAGAGCTCAAAGAAAATACCCCGGTCGACGCTTGTCTCGGTTCAAACGGCTGCAATGTGGGGAAAAAATGGAGAACAAGCAGCCGCACAATCTCAGCCTGCGAGAGCACGCGAATTGTATGAGATATTGCATTGATAGACGCCCATAACGTTCCGTTGGCTAATGGTGGCAAGTCTTCACTATCGCTGAAGTCTCGATCCATGTAATCGTCCGGGAGAGTACTTCCTATCAGCAGAGAAGCAATAATAAGGAGGGGAATAATAACAAAGTGGAGAACATGTAACCAAACGAACAACTCGGAGAGCAGGTTTCGTAATGGTATGGTATTTCGGAGTGAGAATGACAATCCCGCTAATATCCCAAGTGCACTTAGGATGATCAGGCGGGTGGCTAGCAAACTCCAATTTGGGATTCTACGTGCGCCGCCGACATCAGAGTAGGATATTTGAGGTTGTGCCTGAGGTGGTGGCAATGGGGGTATTTCCTCAAGCGATTCCTGAAGTGTTCTTTCGCTTTTTCGCTGACGCTCGTATACAATAGTGTGGCGCTCTTTCACACTGCAGACCTGGGCGTGGCAACGTTTCTTGTCTGAAACCTCGGTGGCGCTGTTCTGCTGTTTCTCGCCAGGACCGGAAACGGAATCTTTCGACAATGTTCCGATGAGGACCTCCAACTTGACCTGACTAGGGCTCTCAGTGGTCTCTGAGAGATCTTGAAATTGATCCAGTGCGTCCGTGGAGTCTCTTTCATCCAGCCACAAGGTCTGCGTTTTTCTGAGCAAAGGGTGCATTGTCATGCGCTCATGCCGTATCTCCTTTGCGCTTCCCCAAAGCGCAGTTACAACAGAGTATTGGACTTATCCGTGGGAAGTTTCCTATACATTCAAACGGTTAGCATTCCCAATATGCGACTGAAGACTTGTGTGTCCAGGGTATCCGCAAAACCCAATTTGCACAGTCGATGACAGGCCTTTGTAGGGAGAAATGTTTGTACAATAATGCCTCAGCATGAATTCCGGGAAGAAGAGCCAATGAGCTCTGTGTTCAAATTCTAGGAGGTCTCCTGTCCGTATGTCCGCATAAAGCATTGCAGATTTCACAATGCCACGTAATTTAGGAGGTGCGATCTTGTGGGGCACGGCCCCGGTATCCCGAAAGCGTCACACAGGTGAACCTCGTGTAATGGCGGAGCACCACGAAGAGCAGCGTTATGAAAAACGCGGCAGTGAATGGAGGACATCATCATGAATAATTTCACAACTCTGCCCACTCCACTGGTTTACCTCTGAGAAGGATGGACGTCTTCTCCTCAGGCGACCCTGACGCTGGAACATAATTGTATGGCCAATCAATGGAGGGAGGAGCCGATATCATTATCGCATCGGTTCTTGACGGTCTGCCCCCAGCAAGACCAAACCGCACACCGCGATCGTTTAAAAGATTAAACTCGAGATATCTTCCACGTCGAATTCTTTGCCACCGTTTTTGCTCTTCTGTCCAGGGAATCTCAACGTTTTCTTCTAGTATAGGTAGGTAGCTGCGGAAAGACTCGGAGAGCAATCGGGCTTGAAAATCCAATAGTCGTGGCTCCGGCAGTGCAACTCCATCATAAAATAGGCCTCCTACCCCGCGGTGCTCAGCCCTAGAGGGTAGATAGAAGTATTCGTCGCATTGCTTTTTGAACTGTAGATAAATACATGAGGCGGGCGAGGACATAAATTGCGTGAGGTCAGAGTTCTGCATGAGACATATTCATGAACTGTGCCATTGGGATATAGCTCATGTTCTTAGATAAGGCATCAGTCTACAGGGCACAAATCATGAACTGTTTGTACACCAGGCAACTGCGCGCAACAGACTTACTTGCGGATAAAAGGCCGGTTCAAAGTCATCGCACATTCGTTTCAGCTGCTTATGAAAGCGAGAAATCTGCGACTCGTTGACGTAAAAAACGGTCAAATCTACACCACCGCCCCCCCAGTATTGGTCCTTGGTGACAAAAACGCGAACATCTCCTCTCAAGGTGGGTACGAATGGGGATTGGGCATGGAAAACAAAACTGAGCGCAGCAGCGCGGTACTCCATACCCGCCTCACAACGCCTGCCGGTGGATCGCATCGCGCTGGCACGGGCTTCTGACAGGACACCGCCCACGACGGATACGTTAACACCTGCCTTCTCAAAAATACGACCCTGCTGCAGAACTGGGAAAGGTGGTGGTCAGAATTGTCTTTATAGCTGGGTAGGGACAGTGTAGTGTTCGGATGAGGTTTGCTTGTGTTAACGATGGTAATGCTTACCTCTAGTAATACCGGCATTGCCATTTTCTAATTGCCACGGATCGGAGCAGAAGTTGGCGCGAGTATCTATGGCCTCGAGCTTCGCGCAGAGAGAAGCTTGGGTATCGTAGAGGAACTGGGCAAACTTGGGGATGCTGAATGCGGCCTTCGATGGAGGTGCAGGCGTTTCAGCAGTGGCTCGCGTCGGGCGCTTGATGCAGCGTGTGGATGAAGGATCGGACCGGGTGCGAGGAAAAGGGGCAGGAGCGATGAAGAGCGACATGGTAAGATTACTCATGGAGTCGAGAGGGGAATTGGAGGGATGGGAATGTCGGTGGGGAAATGTGGCGGGGAGATGTTATCGGCGGGCATGCAGCTGGTGAGCGAATGTTTGGTGATACCGATGCGCGTTTCGGAATTGTTTTTGGTGAGGCGGGGTTCTTGTCCCTCAGTTTACAGGGCGACGCAATGCGTATCTGGAGGTTGTGTGATTGTCGGACGAGCATATACCATGGCGCGGTCGCAGGACGAACAATGGGGGTAGTCGTCGCTTCGGCGCAGAAAGTGCTTGATGGCACGAGTAGGGCTCTATACGGCATGGGCGTCATCTGAACACGTGTTTGGAGTCCAAACACGTGTCGTGTTCAGATGACGTCCAAACTTGGGACCAATGTTACGATCTCGTTCGTAGCCGTGAGATCGCGCTGCCGATGTAACACGGTGTCGACGTGTATCCCGCAGGCCTAAGAGATCCAGATTACGGATAAACAGGCGTCCTTTTCCAAGTTCTCCTTTTCACAGGGTGAGCATCTGCCACTTGCCACCTTCCCACCATCCCCCCCTCTTGCCGTGGCGAGGCGGTTACTCTTCCATCTCCCCACCTTCCCTTCGCCCTTGATCCATCCGGCCAGTCGATTGCATCACGGGGCCTGCGACTGCCGTGCAAAGAGGCAGGCTAACCGAATAACACGCACTCTATCGCCCCGCCTTCCCTCCTAATCCCCCCACCATTTGGAAATGCCGCCTCCACCAGCCTTCCACGCTCCGCCCCTCGCCCCGTCGCAGTGGCTGCGCACGCGTCCCCTTGCCCCAAAATGCCGTCTCACCGCTGCCTTGCCGCCCGACCCTTTTACCAGGACGCTCTGGCATCCCGCCCCCCCGCCCCGCCGCCGCCCCGCCACCCGCGACACGCCGCGTGCTCTGGCCGCCTCAAACCCCGTGTCTGCCCTCGCTGAAGACATCGTGCTCCAGTTCCAGTCCTCGTCCGGCGCGCATCGCATCGGCCGCGCGGTCAAGCCGGACGGCAAGCGCAACTGGATCGTCGCCGACGCCAACGGCGTCACGTCCTCCGTCACACTCAAGCAGATTGCCTTCGTCCTGGGCCCCTTGTCCGATTTCGAACCCTTCGCCGACAACCTCCACGCCTTGGACGACACCTGCCATCAGAAGGCATCCGATAACCACGATTGGCTCCCGGAAATCTGGGAGCACGTCACGTCCGAGCATCCAGACACCCGCACCACTGACATTGATGCAGTTACCGAGCTCGTCTTTTCGGACCAGCATCCGCTCAATTGCTATGCCTCGCACTTGCTCATGTCGCATGACAAGGTCTATTTTAAGGAGAAGAACATCAAGGGCACCATTCTGTACGAAGCCCGCACCCCCGAGCAGGTGCGCAGCGCCCAACTCATGCAGGAGGCCGTCGTGGCGAAGGAGAAGGTTCTTGAGACGCGCCGCGCCGTCTTTGTTAACGCCTATCGGGACCGCTCGATAGAGCCGCTGAGGGAGGTGCTCACAGAGTCGGATGTCGAATGTCTCGTGGATAGCCTGAAACTGATGGCTATTGATATCGTAGCCATGCGCTCAGATGGACGCATGCCGTCTGATATGGTTTCCGCTTTCAGTTCGTTTGATGATCGGGTGAAGGAGATGGTAAAGGATGCTATGTCGGCCTTGGGGAAGAACGTCTCACCTGTGAATGCGTTCGATTTACTTGTGAAATTGAGTGTCTATTCGAAGCACGAAAACCTAGCCCTGCTCAAGTCGGACTTACCGCATCTCCAGGAGTGGGATCCATCTGTACAAGCTCGCATGCAGCACCTCATGGAGAATATTCCCGACGACATTGATATGCATCTTCGTGTCGATTTGACACATCTGCCGTCATACGCTATCGATAGCGAGGACACGTCTGAAGTAGACGACGCTATTTCATGGGACGCGGACACAGGCCGAATATATGTTCACGTGGCAGACCCTACGCGCTATTTTGGGGGCGATCTCGAGGACCCCATTCTTCAAGCCGCGTTTCGAAGGGCTGTGACGCTCTATTTACCAACCGCAAAGTTTACTATGTTTCCAGAAGAGTTGGCGACCCAGGTGTTTTCATTAGATGGGGTAGATTCAGACGGCTCCGCGTTGTCGTTTAGCTTTTGTATCGAAGATGATGGGTCCATTCGTCAAGACTCTGTTACCGTCGAGATGACGCAAATCTCCACGCCGATTCGATACACCTACGAGGAGGTAGACGCAATATTGTCAGACACAGCGAAAGAGGGGGATCACGCAACCATGCATAGCATTTATGAAATTGCGAAGAGGAGGTATGAGTGGAGGGAAATGGAGGGTGGAGCGATCATGATCAACACGCCGTTTAGTGAAGTCACCCTCAAAATGATGGATGGAGAAGAGCCCGAAATTTTACTGACCAAAAAGTTAACAGACACCCGGTCATGGATTTTGGTGTCGGAAATGATGATTACAGCATGTGCTGTAGCTGGGGACTATGCACGAGAAGCTAGTCTTGATGTTCCATTCCGCGGACAAGAGCCATTTGACTACCCTGAGGATGAGGTGCTAGAGACATACCCCAACGGACCGGTTCGAGCGGCGATTGTTTTCCGCAATGCGGCACCTTCACAGGTCGACACGAAAGCGATGGAACATGCATCCCTCGGATTGGATGCGTACCTGCAAGTGACGTCACCCATCCGACGAAGTTGTGACTTGGTGGCTCATTTTCAATTGAAAGCAAGAATACGAGGCGAAGCGGGGCGTTTGTCTATCGAAGAGGTGCGGAAAGAAATTGCAAGAAGCGGAGATGTTACGCGGGAAATGCGACTAGTTGACAACCGAACTAAGAAATACTGGCAACTCGAGTACCTTCGGCGCATGGGTCCGCGAGTGGAGTACGACGGTGTGTACGTTCGCGGGCTGAGAGATGACGACAGCAAACGAGGTCTTGTCTACTTCGAGGAGTTTGGTTTTCAGATGGTGGCTAGCGTGCCGTCAACTGCAAAGCCCGGAAGCAAGCTGAAGCTGAGAGTGGAGGAGGTAGAGCCGAGAAGTGGCTTTTCACGGATCGAGGCGACTATGGTTCTGACGGCAAAAGAAGTTAGCGACTTTTCAGACATACTTGAAGATGCCCTTTCGGACGTGTCGTCAGAGGCGGGATGAGATGGGACAGAGTACGAAAAAGGTATTCGCGGACAAAGCTTAGCATGGACAGCAGATAAATTCCATTGCACTCGTCCCCGAAGAAGTCGACTGTGACAGGCAGCGGCCACACTTTTTGCATTTCCTGCGCCCTCCGGATGACTTGTGGGACTTGGGTGAAGAATGCGAGGAATGCTTGTCGGTCTTTACGCTGGGATGCTCTGACTTCTTGGAGCCGGACTTGGTCGAGCCGCTGTCTTTGTCCTTTTCCTTCCCGTTTCCAGCACTCGTATCCTTTCCGGCCTTCTTGGAATCCGCCTTGGAATGCTTCTCGGAATCCTTCTTGGTTCCATTTCCCGAGCTAGAACCGGAGGGGGGTTTCTCGGGGGCGACGCGCGGGGGCTGTGAGGGCCATTTGACGCCGCGTATAGCCACGTGCTCGGGGAAGAAGGGGCGGCCATTCTTTTTGCGTTGGCGCCACCAAACGACTAGAAGGATGATAATGATAACTAGTAAGATGAGAGCGGCGATGCTAATGCCGAAGTCGACTTGGACGACCATGGTGAGTGTGGGAGTAGGAAAGTGGAAAGGCAAGGGGGTGGTTAGGGAAGGCTGGGAGAGTTGGTGAATGTGAGAGTGGGCAAGTGGGAAGGAAAGGCAGTGGTGGGGGAAGGTGGGGTGGGCCGGTACGATAGGGAATAGGAGAGTTTGAATTTATCGCTTTGGTTTGCTGGTTGTGTTGATGCAAGACCGCCGCATTCTATTGTAAAAGCGAGAAGGATAAGGGGCCAAGGGGGGTTGCGGTAATCGCGGGAGCGCTATGTTAGAGAGGCGACGAACGATGATGTGGCAGGGGAATGCGGCTGTGGCAGGTGAGATATTGACAAGTAGGGTACGGATAATAAAGAACGGATATTAACGGAGGCATGCGAGTCGCAAGACGCTCAAAGGCAAGGCGGAGCGAGATAGTCGGGATGTAAGCACGTGTAGAGCGACAGTGATTGGAGATCCCGTGGGTGGGTCGGGAATTCAGTCGTGTGGGGAGGCGTTTTGATTTGTCTCCCATCTCTTTTTTGCTTCAATAAATCCTCGGCTCAAGCCCTTTCTTTTCGCCCGCGGCTGCGCCTTTCGCTCCAGTTTGCCCTTTCTTTTCAGGCGTTCCATTCCTCCGCTGACGCTTGCGCGTCGCGCAGTCGGGAGATTCGATTCGAGTGACTCGCACAGAGGTGGAAGGAGGTGCCACTCAACAAAAATCACTCCCTTTTGTCTCTCTGCTCTTGCGCGCTTACGCCGCGCTCCGCATACATTCTCGCTGTGAACGGCCTGTTCAAAGAAAACTGTTAGCTCGCCATCCCTCACCTCACCCGCACGCGTCGACCGTTCGCACAACTTACTCCTCGAAAATACACCCTACTCGATAGCAAAAGAACAGCCACGCCGCGAGCAGAACCCCCGCCGGGCTAGCCTCTCTACCCACGCGAACCGCACAACGCACTGAAAAGTCAGTCACCGTCCACGCACGCACACGCACGCGCACCCGCTGTCACGCCACCAACGTACAGCAAAGCCTCCGCCAAGTGGACCATGGAGCTGCCGTCATACATGGGGTTGTCCACGACGCTAAACGGGAACTCAGCAACCCTGTCCTCCCTGAGCAGTCCGAAGTAGTCGCCCAAGTACGTGCCGACGATGCCCAGGCGACAGTACGCGCCGACAAACAGCGCGGCGCCGAATACGCCAAGCGCGCCGGCCGCCGCGTGAACCAGCGGCGCGTCGAGCATCTCCGCGCGCGGCTGCGAGCGCATGGCGGCCGCGAAGAGCGCGGACCGCAGTACGCTCACGGCCGCGATGACGGCCCCGCAGGCGTACACGCCGACGAGCGGGCGCCGCGTCAGCTTCGAGATCGCCCGCGTGTGCAACTCGAGGCGCCCGAGCCCGTTCCACACCAGCGGCGGGACCACCGTCGCTACGATGGCGCGCGACAGGGCGACGTCGGACGCGTCCAGGAGCGCAGGCGCGCTGGGCAGCGTCGCTTGCAAGGCGCGGGAGAGCGGCACCGCCGCTGCGTCCAGCGCGCGCGTCAGGGTCGGCGACGCTGCGGCGCTGTGAAGGGCGCCGGACGCGGCGTGCAGCGCGCGCATCGCAGACTCCATTCCTGCTCGAAGGGCACGATTAACTACACGTAGTCGAGGTCGGCTCCGGGCTTCGGACGAGGTACAGCGTAGTCCGAAATGCCGAAGCATCCGTTCCGCTCGAAACGCATCGTGGATGCGGCTGTCCAGATCTACCGAGATCTGTGAATCTTTTTTGCCAAGAAAGATTCCCATCCACGCACCCACGTCGCAAACGTGTGTGAGAACGCGGCCACGTCACCCGCCGCTGTTTCCCTCTGGCAGCAAGGCAAGAACCCAATTTGATGTTTCAGTTCGTATTTCAGTTCATGTTTCAGTTTGTATTTCAGTTCATGTTTCAGTGCAGCTTTTGGTTCATCCACTTCCTTCCTGTGGAAACGGCCGCTTCCGCCGACTAGAAATTTGTGCGGGGAACGCCTTTCGAGGCCTTGGCACGGCATCTAACATTGAACGCCCTCCATCCCCCCAACGCAAACCCCCCAACGCAACCCCCCCCCCCTCAAGGGCAAATCCTCTTCGCAAGCTCGGCGTACCTAACCATGCCATCTCCCTCGACGTCCTCCCCGAGCAATTCCTCGACCTCCTCCTCCGTGAGCTTCTCTCCGAGCGTGGTAAGTATCCTCTTGATCTCGTCCTGGTGAATGACTCCCTTCTTCCCCGTGTCGAACACCGCGAACGCCGCCTCCACGGCCGCCGCGTCGAGCCGCTTCTCCGCCGCGCGCCCCTCCTGCACCAGCCGCACGAACGCCTCAAAAGACACTGTCCCGCCGTCCGCGTCTGCGCACCGCGCGGCCTCTGACAGCCACGCCTCTGTCGGCGCCTCGCCGCATGCGCGGAGAACTACCCCGAGCTTGCTGGTTGTCACCGTGCCTGCGCGAAGATGGTGGTTAGAGTCTGGGGGGTGACGTTTTCGCGCGCTGAGGGGGAATGCGCTGTCGCAGCTTACCTGTATTTGACTCGTCGAATAGGTCGAATGTCGCACGGAGCGAGCGCCGCTCCTCGTCGCTTATCGCTGCTGTCATGGTGCGCGCGTGGGAAGGGAGAGAAGCCTGCTGTTGCCGAGATGGGTCCGTAGCGTTCGCTGCTGTTGGTCAATCGCCCCTCCAGTGACCCTTTCCTTTTCCGAAATCGTTGGAGCCCATCAGACACCGAAATTTCTCTCATTTTTTTTTGAAGTTTTCCTTTTGTCCACGTCGTCCACGTGTTTATCACGTTTCCTCCTCCCGCATTCCCCCATCAGAGGATAGAGCTACCCCCCAGAAGAGAACCACTTCTTCTCACATCCCTTCTGCATCGCCTTTCCCCGCAATGGACGGCTCCGGCGGCCACCACCTCGCCCTGCCCTACCACCCGACGCGCCGTCTCCACGTCCTCTTTTCCCGAGCCAATGACCGCCAGCCGCACCCCGAGCACGACCCGCCCCTCGACCAAATCTGGGACCGTCTCACCCAGTCCAACCCCACCCTCTTTAACGCCCGCAAGTTCCGCCTGCACGCCCTCTCCCACGCCCCTACTTATTCGAACCTCCACCTCGGCCTCACCGACTACAAAACCTTTCAGGCTACTCACATGCCCCCGCACCCCGTCGCACGGCTCGGCCGCCAGCACATGGCCCTACCGCTTGGCAACGTCATCGTTGTCGCAACGCGGGATGAGAGCACCCTCCTACTCGTCCGGAATAGAGCCGTGGGCGAGGGGAAGGGCGCTCTCGTGTTTCCGGGCGGCCATCCGGAGCCGGACGCTATGCACCCGCCGCCCAGGGAGGGCGAGAACGCACGTGTTCTAGATGAGTTGTTTCAGGGCGCGCGAAGAGAGGTCCTCGAGGAGCTGTTTCTGGACGACCAGCACCTCCCCTCCGTGCAAGAAATGCGCGTATTAGGCATTGTGGAGCGGAAAGGCGACGCCAAGCCGAGCATGGTGTTTTTCGCGCGCACAGCCCTCACGGCGGGGGAAGTGTGCGCCACGTACCAGCGCGGCAACGTGCGGCAAGAGGAAACTAACGCTATCATTGCCAAGCCGCTCGCGTTTTTGCGAGAGCTTGCCGCTGGGGCGCGCCTGCACGGCGCAGACCCCATGCCGGAGACCGTCGGGGCGGCGCAGCTGTGGGCGCAAATGAGGGACTGGCCGTCGGATACCACGCAGCCTGCGCAGCAGCATGCCACAAATGCGGCATGTTGCTAGTGTCTACATGGCGCCGAGCAGCGGCCGCCTGGACGTGATGCACCACGCGTCTCGAGGCGCTGGCGACGACGGTGTGCACACGCTAGCTCGCATGCGACCGCCTCCCCGCAGTCGCGACACTGTACCGTACCAGAGGGGCCCTGCTCTGCCAGCGCGTCTTCTTCCAGACGAACGTAATGCGTTGCTGTAGTGTCGAGACATGCTGAGAAGGGCCTGTTACCGTGCGCGGTTCAGCGCGAAGTTTGCTACGCATCTCACACGGATGTACGGACAGCCGCCCGTGGTCTCGAGTTGAGACAATGCGGCAGGCGTAGGGACGCCACGGCCGAGTCGCGCCTGTAGGCGATTGTCTCGATGTGCGCGCATGGAGTAGAAGGTGGTGACGGCGTCGGTACGTGTGCGTGGTACTTGCCGGGGCGTGCTATGCGGGCAGGGTTTCGAATATGTTGATGCGGCGTTGTCTCCTGGCAGTCTCGCAGTCAAGCCGGGAGGAGCTGTGCTGAGGCATTGTTCTGGTGCAGAAAAGTGGGCAGGATTCATTGGCGATGTCCGCGATGAGGCCACGCAGGGCGTCACGGTGCTGATGGGCACGGTCCAGCACAGTGCCCGTGAGCGGGTCTCAGTCGCAAAACAGGGGCTGACGCGAGCAACTCTTCCACAAGAGTCAGTATGACGCAAGCGGACGCCGCGGTGGACACCTGCTCGAAGCCACGCAGCGGGACACACCGGGCAGGACGCGGATTCATGAGTGGCGGGCTCGAATGAAGGGGACTGCGTGTCGCGCACGCGCATATTTACAAACTAGGTCTACGAGCGCGTGCTTACAGAACATGGGCTGTAAGCTTACCGTCCCGGCAAACGGCAAGCTTACATGGACCCATACAAGTATGTACTACAGTACGCGCACGTCCGCGCTTCCTACGCCCGGAGGTAGAACAATAAACAACTCGAGCAAGCAACTCTACCTACTCTAGTCTGCGAAGGCACAAGCCGGAGCCCGTTCTCACCCCTGAAGGCGCAACGCCGGATCACTCAACCCCCCCCCCCCC